TAAATTAAAAATATAAAATATAATTTAATAATAATATTTTATATTAAATTTATTATATTATATAATTCTTTTTATTTTTTATTTATTAAAAAAATTTTATATCTATTAACTTAAAATATAAATAAATTAATTGTTTATAAAATTATTATTAATTTTTGTATTTAATTTAATTATTTTATCTACAGACTATTCTATAATATATAAATAATTCATTATTATATAATTTTTATAATATCTTTATATTTTATATTCTTGATAGTTTTATTTATTAGAAATCCTTGTAGCCAGTTTACTTCCCACCAGTGCTTATAATAAACCAAGGTCAGTCACACATGTTCCATAACACATGGTCTCTGACACGGGTTCTATAATATAACCCTTTAGATACCTACACGGCTTTACAGTCTATTCAGTCGCTTATTGGCAAGTACAACACAATAATAGATAGAACAACAACTTTCACATCTACAGTCTACTAATCCCACAACAAAAAAGCTTGTGGGATTAAATAATTGGTAGATCATGGTCATTTACAGGGAAGAAAAAAGTTAAATCCAGCTTCAACCGTATCTGAAGGTTTAGCACAGTCATTGCACCCGCGGCCTTCCGTAAGATATGAGACCAATATACTGACATTACCTGCTATGAATATCTATGGCATATGCATCAGAATACGTAGAACATCCATCGTCTTGGCCTTCTGACAATTTTATTATATAGAGAGCCCATGGAGCATTTTATTGATAACTTCCGCCCCTAATTATATAGTCTTTTGTGCCCCCCCCCCCCCCTCTCCCAACACAGCTACCATCATTTGCGACAAGGATATGCTAGTCTAGAGACAAGAGGGCGAAGAGATATTTAATGTATCTATGAGACACAGAGTATCCGCGTAGGTTTATATTATAATGGCCCAGTTAGACCACTAGGGATAGAAGAGCGAAAGACAACAAGCTAGGAAGGTAGGGCTTAGAACTCCCTATACCCCAGCATCTATCTCCATTGCATCCCCGGGATGACGAGTATTGTTTGAATTACGGGGATCTGCGGCCGTCCCCGAATATGTAGCGCTATATGCAGAGGGATGTCGCCCACATTGAGTTGTTCTAGCCCGCTCCCTTGTCTCAATCAGAGCCTTACGCACAGTGTCTCTTTCCCTCGGTACTGTCAGTGATGCTGGTTCTCTGTAAAGGACCAACTCGTTGCACATGGGTTTTGCTTCTGTGGTGATGAATCTCGGGATTGCTCGCAAGTTCTCCACGATTCCGGGCACGAATGTAATGGAATCACTGGGAAGCTCAGTTTCTGCTATCTCACGTTCAAGATCATGAATGTAAACAGTATATTTCGTGTCGTCCAATATCATCAGGTCATCTAAAGCTGACGAACCATGTTGACCAACGTCAAGATTGTCTCGAATTTCTCCAGGAGCAGGACTAATTGCTCGAGGACCTAAATTTGCGATGTTCGTTAGAGGATGTGATAAAAGGAAGGGGGAGCCTAAGCACAGGAAAAAAGACAAAAGAAAAGGGTGGGGGGACAGAGGCAAGGAATTTTGAAACAAAGGACTGCGATAGGAGAAAGAGAGAGAGAACGAGCCAAGGCTATGGCAAGACATACCAATATGCAAGCGACCAAACTTTTTAGCTAGAGGCTGATCCCCATCAGGGTCACTCTCCGCGGGACGCTTTGTTCCGTGATAAACTCCCACATCAGGGTGCTGCGCCATCCAAACCACAAACAGCCAGGTAATCAATCAGAGAACTTTCTGCGGAGTAACAAAAAGGGTTTATAATCTACCATCTGCTATCCTGGGCACACGCGAAGTCAACTTGGTGCAGCTAAATGCATCGCTGAGAGGGTGGCTTGATGCGAGCCCCTAAGCTTTTGAGGGATGGGGAACTGGCTTTGACTCATCTGCTGTCGCCCTTTAGGTCAAAACCCAGAACATTCTACCATCTTCACACTTCCCCTCCCCCTCCCCCACATCGAAGTGCGTTACCTGCAAACACCACATCACCACCATTCATAATGAATTCAAATCTACAAAGCAGTCCTGAGTGGACTGCAAAATCTGTTCGGGATGCATTTATTCAATATTTCCAAAAAAATGGACATACTTTCGGTATACTATATACTACACATTTTATTCTCAATCTTTTGCCAGCTAACATCGAACCGTACGACCAGTTGCATCAGCTCCTGTGGTTCCTCACTCGGACCCAACCTTGCTTTTTACAAATGCTGGGATGAATCAATTTAAGTCGATTTTCCTGGGCACCGTGGATCCACATTCGGATTTTGCGAACCTGAAGAGTGCGGTCAATACTCAAAAGGTTACTACATGAAATTATTGCCCTCTCTCCCTTGAAAGTCGCACAACTAATTTATATTCATAGTGCATCCGTGCTGGTGGTAAGCATAATGTAAGTGTCAAAGACAGGGCAATGATTTTACTTTTTTTTTTTTGTGGCAAGAAACTGACCGTAGCGATAAAAGGATTTGGATGATGTGGGAAAAGACAGTTATCATCATGTGAGGCGATCTAATCTCATGCTATTATCATTGCAAGTACTGATAGGGGATTTGTAACAGACCTTCTTTGAGATGCTCGGTAACTGGAGTTTTGGCGACTACTTCAAGAAAGAAGCAATCAATTACTCTTGGGAACTCATGACAAAGATATATGGATTGGACCCGCAACGATTGTATGTTACCTACTTTGAAGGGAGCGAAGAGGGTGGTCTCTCTCCCGATCTGGAAGCCAAGGAGCTATGGAAAGCAGTGGGTGTTCCGGAAGACCATATTCTCCCCGGGAATATGAAAGACAATTTCTGGGAAATGGGTGATCAAGGTCCCTGTGGACCTTGCAGTGAAATTCACTATGACAGAATTGGGGGACGCAATGCCTCCAACCTTGTCAATCAGGATGACCCCAATGTTCTTGAGATTTGGAACAACGTTTTCATTCAGTACAACCGTGAGTCAGACCGGTCTTTGAAGCCCCTCCCAAACAAGCATGTCGATACTGGCATGGGCTTTGAGCGCTTGGTCTCGATACTCCAAAATAAGTCATCAAATTATGACACCGATGTGTTTTCTCCGTTATTTGAAACAATTAAGGACATCACTGGAGCACGGCAGTATCAGGGACGATTCGGTGTTGAAGATCCGGATGGAATCGACACGGCTTACAGGGTTGTAGCAGATCATGTTCGAACTCTGACATTTGCCATTTCAGATGGCGTCACACCGAATAGTGAGGGCCGTGGTTATGTGATTCGTCGGGTGCTTCGCAGAGGTGTTCGGTATGCCAGGAAATACTTCAGGGTCGAGATTGGCAATTTCTTTTCCAAGATTGTACCGACCCTTGTGGATCAGATGGGTGACATGTTTCCTGAGGTCAAGCGAAAACAACAAGATGTTATGGAAATACTTGACGAGGAGGAGATTTCGTTTGCAAAGACTCTGGACCGTGGTGAAAGGCAATTCGAACATTATGCCCAGCAAGCTAAGGCTAAGGGAGATGATAAACTCCACGGTGCTGATGTTTGGAGATTGTATGATACCTTTGGCTTCCCTGTCGATTTGACTCGTATTATGGCAGAGGAACGTGGCCTTCGAATTGATGACACTGAGTTCGAAGAGGCTCGCTCAAGAGCTAAGGAGGCAAGTAAAGGACAGAAAAAAGCTGCCGCCGACACCGTCAAACTGGATGTTCATGATCTTGGAAAATTGGAGAAAATGAATGACGTTCCCAAAACGAATGACGCCGCGAAATTCGATAGAGGGAATATCACTGCCCAGGTTAAGGCGATTTACCATGGCAAATCCTTTCATCCCTCCACGGAACAGATACCCGAGGGGGACCAAATTGGGCTTATCCTCGATCGCACGAACTTCTATGCCGAACAAGGCGGCCAGGAAAATGACACAGGCAGAATTGTCATTGATGGACAGGCTGAGCTTGAAGTTGGCGACGTTCAGCTTTACGCTGGGTATGTTCTTCATACGGGCTTCATGAAGTATGGTTCTCTCTCTGTTGGTGATGAAGTCATTTGTGAATACGACGAGCTTCGTCGGTGGCCCATCAGAAATAACCACACAGGCACACACATCCTTAATTTTGCTCTCAAAGAAGTACTGGGAGATGGCGTGGAGCAGAAGGGCTCGCTTGTTGCTGCTGAGAAGCTTAGGTTTGACTTCTCACATAAATCACAGGTTACAGATAAAGACCTGGAAAAAATTGAGGATATATCGACCGAGTATATTCGCCAGAATTGCGCCGTCTACTCGCAAGAGGTGCCTCTCGCAACTGCCCGACAGATCTCAGGTGTCAGAGCTGTTTTTGGCGAAACCTATCCAGATCCTGTTCGTGTTGTGTCTGTAGGCGTGGAGCTGGAAGAGATCCTCAAGAATGTTAAGGATCCTCGTTGGGAAAAAGTTAGCATTGAGTTTTGTGGTGGAACTCATGTGCAGAAGACAGGCGACATTAAGGAACTTGTTGTCTTGGAAGAAAGCGGCATTGCTAAAGGCATCCGCAGAATAATTGCAGTTACCGGGGAGGATGCTCATGAAGTGCAGCGTGTCGCCCTGGAATTCGAGAAGCGTTTGGACCGTCTCGAAGCAATGGCTCTAGGTCCCGAGAAGGAACAGGGCGCGAAGCAAATCCAGGTTGACCTTAGCCAGTTATTAATCTCAGCGGTTCAAAAATCGAGGTTCCGTGAACGCTTTGCACATATCAACAAGCAAATCATCGATTCGCAAAAAGCGCAACAGAAGCTTGAATCGAAGAAGGCGCTTGAGGCAATTACTTCCTACTTCCAAGACCCAGAAAACAAAGATAAATCCTGGCTTGTTACTAAGCTTCCAATCTCAGCGAATGCAAAAGCTGTTAGCGAATCCCTGAACCATGTGAAGTCGAAGCTGCAGGATAAAACGGTTTACGTCTTGGCCGCGGATCCTAACCAAGGCCGTGTCGTCCACGGCTGCTATGTGCCAAAGGTAATATCATCACCCGGTACTTTTCGTCCAGGACTGACAATCTTTATTTCCAACTAGGCCATAAGCGATCAAGGAGCTTCCGCCAGCGAATGGGCAGCTATTGTTTCTACTGCGGTCGGTGGAAAGGCTGGTGGAAAGGGGCCCACGTCTATTGGCAATGGTACTAATCCAGACAAAACTGACGAAGCTATTACCTTGGCTTCTGATTACCTTAGCAAGTTCAAGCTTTAAGCTCTAAATACAGTCCAAGATTGTGATATTACTGGCTTATATAGACAAGGAGAGGGAAAGAAAAGTGTTAATTGCTATAGATAGAGCCCAGAAGATCACGACACGTAAAGAATATAGGAATCACCCTAGCTTCATATATTAGGTTCGAACCGGTTGATTGATCAAGTATCACATCTCCCCGCACTGAACAATGGTAACGTCTTGATTGGGTTTATCCCTAGTTGTGCGAATGTTTTCAATCATTCGCACAACGTCCATCCCTTCCACTACTTGTCCAAACACCACATGTTTGTTATTAAGGAACGGCGTCGCAGTTGTTGTAATGAAGAATTGGCAACCGTTTGTGTTGGGTCCAGAATTCTGGACATGTCAGCATCGTCACTTCCCCAGACTTTCGTACTGGGACTTACTGCCATGCTTAGTAGCCCTGGACGGTCATGCTTCAAAATGAAATTTTCATCTGGAAATCGTGGAGCGCCATAGATGGTACAAGAACCTGTGCCATCGCCATTGACAAAATCACCACCCTGTATCATGAAATCCTTGATCTTTAATGTATCAATTAGCCCCAGAAACATAGCCCTGAGGATATGTAATGTACACACGACTCTATGAAATTTGCTATTCTTATATCCCTGTGGCCGTCCTTGGGAATTCTTGCTTTCTCCTGTGCAGAACTGGCGAAAATTCTCTGCTGTTCGGGGTGTGATACTGGTAAAGATTTCCATCTTGATACGTCCCAGTGGCTCTCCTGTGAGATAATGTATGCTCAGCCTGTATAGATCTCATTTTGTGAGGCAGATATCCCAGCTCCAAATTCCGTATACCATAGCTACATATCTTTAATTGAGTTGTGCTGGTGAAACCAGGTAAGAAATCCCTCAACGGTAGGATCTCTGTCCGTAAGGTTGGTGTTTCTGAATATCATCTTCCGCACTTACCACCTAGAGTGATGTCAAAAAAGACAACAGGGTTGGAGTTCTCAGTCGAGGTTGTAACTTGGCTGTCCATTTTGCAGATTCGTGCTATCAGGAAACCACAAGGTGGTTGGAGGAATAATGATGGTAGTGTGACAACGTAAAACTTGTGGTAGGTACATATCTGGGGAGTACTCGATTGTAAAAAGCCGAATGACTCCATACCACCCCACTTTCAAATTAGCTTATTGGATTAGGGAAGCCAGAGAATATATCGTCTATCGTGCATACGGGATACCTCTGTCGTTATATCATGACAAAATATTCTCTGCCAAATTTATCTTAGTTCGATGTTATTACTGAAGCATTCTACCTCGAGTACGGCTTAGTGTACTACATACATGCTTGATATATGTACAAAGTGATATCAAAGATATGATAGGAAAGTAATCCGGTAGTCACTAAATACATACCTAGGAGTACCTTTTTAACTTCTGTAAATTGTTCCCCTCCTCATTGGTGCTGTACAGAGTACGTACTAAGTAATGCGGGAGATGCAATCTTACGTACTGTAGAGTAGATTATAATGAGCCACCCCGTGACCTGACTGCTCAGCCATTGGTCTCGGTCACGCATTACTACATTACCACCCACCTGTGGAGTATCGCTCTCTCCATCAACGGCATTCTAGATTCAAATGCGATATACATCCCAGGTTTACAATAGGAACGATTCTTTCAGCAGCTCCGGGCGCAGCTGCCGCCAGTGATGATCCACCGCGTTCCCATTTTGGTGTGTGTGCCTTGTGTTGCTATCCTGATGAAACGGGTTACCCCCATCGCTTTTGCGTACTAGAGCCATAAAACCGTTCAAGTGCTCCAGGGATAAAGTTAACCTAGGTTGTTGATTTCTCGACGACATCTCATGTCAATATACTCGTGGATTCCAGATATCACTGCCTAACAATCGAGACGGCCGGCACCGTTTACTGCGCTCAACCCCTCCAGTATTACCACGTCTTCGTTTGTCAAGATGGCCTCCACTGCAACAGGTTTACAACCAACTGCCACCAGTATTGATCACAACGGAGATGATAGTAGATCAAGCCCCACAAGTTCGCCCCTCTTATTCTTCGTTGCCCTTGGTTTCGGTGTTGTATTCACGAACCTATGGTATGCCCAAGCTTGCATTGTGTTTGAAATGTACGCTAATCTTGTTGGCCACTCCTAGGATTATTGTTGGGGTAAAGTATTGCTTCAGATATAACCAGCGAAACCGCCAATTACGCAATGAGGAAACGGGCGAACCGATAGATTTAGTAACCATGCCCCGACCACATAGGCGAAGGAGAGAGAAAAAGTTGATGAGTATGGATGAAGTAAACGAACGGTTTCCACTTATCAAATACAAAGTGTGGAGATCTTCGCGCGCGAATGAAGGCCTTCCAACTGCAGGTGGAATATCGGCGCCGAATAGCAGGCCGCAAAGCTTGAAAGGCGAACATGATGTTCTATCTACCACTATTGGGGCACACTCTTCCACAACAAATTCACCAATAATAGGCCACCATCGATGTACCTCGACCACATCGCAGTCATTTATACCAGTTGAACATGCACAGACGGCCTCATCACAGTCCCAAGAGAAGGAAAATGCCGATCAAGCATTTGCTGTAATGGCTGACACCACCCATGGCTCAGAGACAAAACAGTTACAGAGTTGCGATTCCCTCGAGGATGACGAGGATGTCAATAATCAAATTCGCACCGCAGTACCAGCGGAACTTTTGCCCAATCCAGGCGATTCGTGTGCAATTTGCCTTGACACAATCGACGATGACGATGACATACGTGGGCTTACATGTGGTCATGCTTTCCATGCATCCTGTGTGGATCCGTGGTTAACGAGTCGAAGAGCTTGTTGTCCCTTGTGCAAGGCCGATTACTACGTTCCAAAGCCTCGCTCTGATCCTGGCGGACAAACAACTAATCCAGAACGCTCAGGCCGTCGTAACACAACACGATTGGCTGTACCCCCACAACCACAATCAGTATTTATAGGAGGGCGTGTTAACCCATTTCGGAATCCCCTAGCTATATCGGAGCGACGGGCTCCATTGAGAAATGGAACCCAATCGTCCCGGCTAACTGCACCGCGTTTTTGGCGAATACAAGATCACAACTTTCGGCCTACTAGTAACCCGTCGAGCACAGCCCCAGAGCCTTCGAACCGGCGAAATTGGAGGACTAGATTTACGTCTGTTCGGTCGTTGAATCTTTCTTTTCTGTCCTTTTCTGCTCGGAATCATCCTTCAAGAGAGAGTATGCCGCAATTGACAGACACTGCTCGCTCTACGGCCGACCGGACACCTGGCCAGCTGGAAGCCCAGTCCGGCGCCTGAGTAGCTTCATAAAATATGTGTTGCAGTTCCCTTATCCAATTCACGTCAAACGTTGCCCTTCCTCGCTTCATGGCATCTGGAATGCCAACGGGCAACGGCACGATTATTTACAGCGTGCAAGGTCACGCAAAGACATGAATATTATTCTGTATAATACGTTGAAGTACCCCACTATTCGAAAGATAGCTTTGTCTTACATAATATGTGTGAAGTCCCTGTTTAGGTATCTACATTTGTTCCACGCTGTTGGCTTAATGGCACAAGTCCTCATGAAAGTTATTACCCGTCGCGTGGTGTTAATGGCGCAATGGTTGCAAGGTATTACGGATTTTCGGACTTTCAGGTTGTATGCAAGGTAGTTGGTTATTTATTGAGAAAGCCTTGCAGCAGATATGGAATTCTGCAATCAAAGCCTGCTGTCTCTCTCTCTTCCCCATTGTTTATTACTACTTGTTCTAATGTACATCGTGATGATGAGAATACCAATGCATATACCAGGAAAATAAAGCTTCGTATCTTAGTATAACATCAATTCTTAGATGTGTTAAATAAAACACATTGACTTCAAGAGTCCGCATCAAGAGGAATTGAAAATAGGTTTATATAATAATATTGACATCATTTCTGCGCTTTTGCGGGGCCAACTCCAGCACTTATAACACCTGGTAACTCATTCTGTCCAATATGAAACAACATCCCAATAGCAGTACCTGCCGCCATGACCACCAGTATACTGATACCCGCAATTAAGAAGAAAGGGGAGCTGATATCTCGTTTTTGGCACGCAGATCCTCCCCACTGAATTTTTTGGATAGTACCATCTTCTTTGGTGACGATGGTTGACTTGCATTTGCATGCGTAGCAGTCGCTAGCTGCCTCGTCGTTGGCTGACCCGGACTTTTTATGGCAAACCCCATGTCCAGAGCAGCTATCAGTTGCCACATTACACGAAGAATTCGAGGTGAAACAAACTGGGTGTGTCGGCCTCTGGAGCGTCCTCATAACTGCTGCACCAGTCGATCTGACAGCAGATTGCTGTCTCACGGCCCCTCGTGGGTTCACTTTGCTTTTCGACCCTTTACCTTGGCTAGATGTGGGCAGAAGAACTGCTGTGATTTGTTTGGCTTCTGACGAAAGAGCACGTAGACCATGGAGAGTAGACGTCAGGGATTCGGCTACAGAGCCAGAGCCCACATAATCATCAGGAAACTGCCGCAGATTAGTAAATGCTTCGCTAAGGTAACTATTGTAAGAACGTACTTGTAATGAGATCTTCAAGACTGCTGTCAAACTCTGCTCGTCCACCCACGTTTCCGCCAGCTTCACAATGCCGAGAAGCTCTTTGCCAAATACATGGGCTACCGCTTCGAATGCAGAGCCCTTAGGAATGCAATTTTCAATCGTCTACAGACAGATCAGAGTTAGCCGTAGCAAAAGTCCCACTGATAGCCATTTATTTCTTACTTGAACATCGGAGCCGATTTCGACTCCGCCACCGAATTTACAATAGTTCCTTGTGGTCATAACATAGCCGTCGGAGTTAGCCCCTGATGATGAGTCGAGGAAACCGTCAATTAGGCCATTGGCTGAAGCGCTACTAATCACGAGGTCCCCTTGATACTCTTGCTGAACAGAAGATCCTTGTGACAGCTTGTCAGCTGTCTTGAATAGCGACGGGCAATTTTGACATACCAAGTCCAACCTCTATCCCTTCAAGAATCACAAGGCTCCTAGTAGCATCCTTATAGTCGATATCACTGCCAAACAACGGACGTGGCACGCCACCATATCTGTCCAAAACCTCGACTATGTCTTGATCCCACTTTCCCAGAACCGAAGCGGTAGGTACGTTCATTCTGAGCTCCAAGAGATGTCGAGCTACATCATCAGTTATCACCGGAGTCTTTGTGTTTTGCCATGGTGAAGATGGGTCGAATGTGAATATGGAAGCATCCAAAGCTCTAGTTCCGGATGCGACTGCTAATGCCAGACTCAAGAAGCGAGTGAGCCGATACATGCCGGGCGAACAAACTAACAATTAACTCGCTTGTGATGATAAAAGCCTTGCTGTATTTGATGACTGACAGCTCCGTGGACTTTCAGTGTAGACCTTTTGGTCAGGAACTGGTACTTGAGCGTGAAGTAGGCGAAGCACCTGCACCTTTGTACAGGTGGATAGCAACTACATTACTTCAGCTCTTACTAACCCCAAATTATAACTACCTGTACACTGATATTTGAAATTTACGGAGTAGGAACAGTGGCTCGTGCATCAATATATACCGCCTGAATAAAAGCCAATAATGAGCGACATACAGGCTTTTGTACAGGCATTAAATACCAATAACAGTAGGCGGTCTCTAAAGTTATACACTACAGTGTATTTGGGTGTTTTAAATTTCAGTTTCCTCCCACTGTATCTCAGCTGGACTGTATCACGTGCTGAATCTCGGGACTACCACTTGAAGCACTCCGGAAGAACGACTACTAGTAGATATACGGCGAAAGTTCAAATGTTAGGCTGCTTCAAGATTCGTCCGTATTTGATCTCGATAGTAGTGTACATACCTCCTCCTGACACCTGATTTATTTATTGTCTTCTTAATTCCTCTTTTGATTTCTCTTTCCTTTGTTTTCGCTTATGCAGATCCTTTTCGTACGATCATAGTTATATTTTAAGCCTTTAGTACAAGTCGGTACTCGTTCATTTCATATTGCTCTTCAGTTATACTAAGGCAGGGGCATGCCAATTCTAGCATCCTAAGAAACGGGTAAGAGATATGCATTCTTGTTGAACAGCTGCGCCCACACATGCGATCTCTCAATGTTTCTGTTCAGGCGATTACTTCCAAACTCTACATATCTTTTTCGAATTAGCCCACCATTGTCTCAGACCTCGAATCTCAACAATGTGCGCCATGTCAAATTCAAGCGGCCGTGGATTAGGTAAGTAAATCATCGTTGTACTATAGATATTCCACCCTCTGAAATATGCATTAGGAAATTTTTTACCACGTTTTTTATTTATGGTGCCGCATTTCATTTGTGGAGTTCGTTTGTCCTTCTTCAGTTTGATGATACGCTAGACGATGCCGATGCCACACAGGAAGCACTTTCTGGGAAGACAGGTGTGGGCGAAAATCGAAAAGATGATACCGAGGGGCGCCTCAAGAACCCTGCGAGCGGAACAATAGATTCTGATCCTGTTTTTATACCCTTGGGCTGGCCACGATTACGCAAAGGTGAACTATATGCAGCATCGGACCCGGAGTGGCAAGAGTTTGTCAAGACATCACGGGATCGAGAAAAGCTTCAATATCTTAGAGGTATGGTCGATTCGGTTGCATTTTAGTCCTTGGCTAAACATTGTATGTGAAGATGAGCTGGCATCGATCGTTCAGAAAGATGCCTCCCAGTCTGAAGTACTATCGCGCGTGCTAGGGGGTCCCCTTCGCGTAACAGGGTTCTGGCTAGTGCATCATTTTCCATCTCGCGCCCCCCCTGATTATGAGCGCTCAGGGTATGTGCATTCATGATAGGACAACCCCTAGGATTTGCTTATGACGCGTAGGCTAGAGTTCACCGACGGTGGAATATCGTGGGTTTCAAAACCCATGTCTCTGGAGGATGGCGACCGTCTTCGGAGGTGTATACAGCCTTTATCTGTGGCACTCGCTATAAAGGATGCCTATATGATCTTGGTGAAAAGACAACTTTCCCGGCTTAATATCACAGGCTTAGAGCAAGAACAAGCCCCAGGTCCTTCAAGTCTACCGTCCCACAAGACGCTATCGTCCGAGCTTCAACCCCTAGACGGGTTGCATCCCATGCATCAGTCTGAAACACAGTCGGCTTCACCTACTGGTTCTCAGGGGGCCACCTTGCGAGACAAAGGTGGCGCCGACCTTCATCATTCTCTGATTATATCGACACTTCAACGATTACCTTTACCAAAGTTTGGTCCCGGGTCTGATCTGTACGCAGCATCGTTAGCTTTTAAGATGCGGCTGAAGGACTGTTGGGCCCGAGAACTGCACCGTCCTCGGCGTGGCGTGTTCTATTTTATCGGCCCTGTCGGCTTGAAAGGCCCCAGAGGGTTTTGCAGGGTTGACGTGAAAGGTGAATACGACCCAGCAACGGCCAGTTGGTCTTTGGTTTCGATGCAGCTCAAGGATGTGAGCATATTCAACCAAAAAGCGCTTGGTGGCTCTTAACCGGCTGCTCAACCTTCTTTTACAAATTGTATTCTGATGTATCTTAAAATGCGGGGACTTGATGTATGTACGAGGTCTCTTTTTCAACTTATTTTATTGCCTGGGCATTCACACTGTAAGCTTTCCTCTCCATGCTATAACCTCTCAGACGTCCGGCATCTAGGATATTGAACGAAATAATCTTTGCAATTGTCAATATTGCTGAGATTAGGTCTAAGCTATACAGATATGCACAAGTAATGGAGTTCAGACGGTATGCTAGCATGCTTAATCAAGTAATCAGCAAGTATCGGAAAGGCCAGCTCATTGAAATGCTGTGCAGCTGTTATTACTGCGCCATGAATATGAGTAGCTTATACCTCGTCATCTGTTGGCCGTACTGTCTTCGGCAGGCCATATGTGACTTATCAAGTAATAAATAATCTGGTGGGATGACGTAAAGGTATTGATAAATCACCCCACCCTCTTTGTATGGAGTAAGTACTCTGTCACCTCATCTCACATCCATAAAACAACTCAGAATCAGAGAGCACCTAACCTTATCTCTTTTTCTTTTGCATACTATCACTAATGGCTCTTCCCCCAAAATTTTCGGGTCAAAGATTGCGGGCTGGTACTGATCAACACCCGCAACACACGCTTGAACTCTGTATGTTAGGCACTGGATTAACATTTGTGGTAGTTAGCTGATGATATTACAAATTGAGATCTTGACTATGCATGTCCTGTGAGTCCACGGTGTAGGCTCTACTATGCTTTTGCATGTACGCTAAAACTTAGCCTTAGTTCTCCGCAAAAATGTTCGATACGTTCTACAACTCAGTCAGGCCTACACTTGAAAGCCAATACCGGGGCAAACTGCAGGTCATTTTTCGCCAACATATCCAACCCTGGCACCCATCATCAACATTAACGCATGAAGCGGGCGCGGCTATTCTGAGAGTAGCCCCGGAGAAATTCTGGGAATTCAGTGCTGCTTTATTCAAACAACAGAAAGATTTCTTTGATGTCAGTGTGGTTAACGAAACACGCAATAGAACATATGAAAGACTGGCAAAGATTGCCGGACTTGTGGGAGTGGAGGAGCGAGAAGTGCTCAAGCTTTTGACCGTTAGCGACAGAGCTAGTGATGGCGGGGAACTGAACATCGGCAACGATGTCACCGATGATATCAAGAAAATGGTCAAAGTAAGATATTAAGACTCCGGTGATATGAGACATATCCAATCTAACACAACAAATTAGGCAGACCGTGCTGTAGGAGTCCATGTTTCTCCGACCGTATACTTCAATGTATGCCATTCCTAGTTGCGCAAATGTTAAAGGTGACCCGATGTACTGACACCGTCATCTAGGGTATCGAAGAACCGGGGATCAGTAGCAGCTTTACTGCTACCCAGTGGGGGCAATGGTTGGCCAAGAACGTGATCTGAAAACCCCTTCTAGACAAAAGGATCCTGCAAATAGAATATAGGGGTGGCTGGGCACAGTAAAACCGTCGTATTGGTGGCAGTGCGTGGTGGCTTAGTCGACAAACGAGGTATTTTCTAGCAGCATTGAATTATATTGTCGAGACTTCATGCAAAAAGCACCTGATTGCCTAAGAACAATCTCACTTATGCATACCCCGCACCTTATTTAGCGGCCGTTTGCTCGTCCAAGTAATGGGGAAATGAGTAGAGAAAGGCTAAATATTGAACATCGAACTCGAGGTATATTTACTGTGACATTGGTGGCTGGTAGTTGAGGGGACGCCTGGCACAACTATTAGTATCAAAGGTGAACAAGTTCAAATTAAGGCGCTCACTTGAATAGCAGAATATGCGGTTCCGGCTCATGAACCTCGTAGTGCTCCCAACCCAGGCTCTGACCAGCGATGCAGTTAGACACGTTGTGACATGAAAATATAATACTAGTGATCGGGCCCGCACACCTGTGTAATACCCAGGGCCCTCCACTCCTCTTCCCAAAGTAGTTTAAGGGTTCCCTTCGAGCTATCAAAGTAGTCGGCCGGGATTTTTTTGAGCATGTTTTTGGGGAGCTGAACATGACGGTATTCAAATTGATCATCAGAATATCTGTGGGCAAGTCAGCATTTATGTCAATAGTCTACGATATGAGAGTCAATGTACCTCGCGGAGTAGTGGATAGAGTCGATGAATTCCTCGAGCCTTTCTCGTTCAGATTCCAGCAGAAGGCGGGGCTTCTTATTCCTCCTACTCATATCGATGTCCATCTGGAACGGCAAGAAGGGTGCAATGATGTGGATACAGCAACTGCTGACTATCTTTTAGCTGTGACTGATCTTTTTACATAGATCTTGACCGTGCTAATAGGCAAGAACTATGGGTGTTCTTATTATATAGATACTTACGGAACAAAATCCGATGATGGAGTGACTTCGGTGGAATGTAACTGACGCACAGCTTTTTTGGCGACTTGTTCGCAGTTGGTGTGCGTCTTTAATCACGAGTTGATGTAATTTTGAGGTTCACCAGCTTAAGGTGCAAGTAGGGAGCAGATCGGATCAGGACCACAGGAGAAAAGACAGAAATACTCCAATAAAGATACCCACATTTGCTTCTTGGTGGAGGTGTCTAGCCGCTTTAGTGCCTAAGGCTGCCAAAAAAAAGTATTCACCATTGTAGTTTCTACTTGTCCCTGTTGCCTCCTTATTTCAAGAATCACCACTGGCATCAGGTCCGAGTCTTCCTGTGTATTGCTGGCGGTAAGATGATTGGCTAAGCTGGTCTTAGTCCATTGCTTTGAAGAACATCTGGGTCTGTCTCCTATTTTCCATATCAATTTGTATTTTCATCTTGTTGAAGCAGTCTATGCGAGGGAAACAATAAAGCTTGATGCTCTTTGCATGCTACTATAGCCTTCAACGCTCAACTGCTTCATAATTATGTGAAGTTTATATCTATATATGGAGGATTCTCTTGCTTGCGGTTTATTGTAAGGGGTGGTAATGGGGCATGATACTTTCGGGATGTTCAGTTAAATCTATACTTATCAACCTTAATAATGAGAAAGTATTAATCTGTACAATATGTCTTGTTTATACACATTGATCCATCCCGGAGTAAAATGTGAGCGTCAGCAATTCCTAAGCAGTGCCCTGTACTCCGAGTAGTACCAGGGAAATTGTTAGTAATATGCCACTGCTACTTCTCTTCCTCTACTTATGTTGATAACCCGAATAATAGTTTCACCTGCAAATACACCTGACTTTCCATGTTATAAATAGAGTCGTGGTAGAGGCGACATTCTCTCAATAGGAGTAGTCTTCTGAGAGAGTTCGTCGAGTGAGGAGAACTCGATTCATTTACCCAAACAGTTGCTAGGCTTACACATAAAATTCTCTCTATAAGAGTGGAGCGATCCACATACAAGCAACCTGCAATTAATCACAGTCTTAAAGTGTAAAATGACGCCCGATCACCAACATACTCTGGGATGTTAGAAATATGTGACTCTTGTGATGCACAATAGTTTAATGGATGTTGGCTGACACCTACCTTCGACTGCTCTCATAGCTTGTGGTGGTGTACAAGCAATGGGTACCAAAATCTAAACCTCGTTATATGCCACTCCATACAAATAAAAATCTAGTATCTATTCTGCGTGTAAGGTAAGGTATATATCGAATCAATAAACGCCACAGCTAGTTTGTGAAATCATGGAATCTACCTGTAGTAATTCTTGTGTAGTAGAAAGCTTCTACAATACAGTACTTGCTGTCAGTAGTTTTGTTGTAGGGCTGTATGTTTAGTGCTACATGGGAATGCTCCCCATGATGGAAAATCTTTTTAGATAACTAGTTAACGTAGTCGGTAAGCGGGAGGCTCACGTAGGCCGGGGGCTCACCTCTGTATTCCATACACAATAGCACATTTTTAAATATTGATATCTCAACTACTTTTGAATAGGTCGGTTTATAATTTTAATATACTAATAGTAAAAGTACTTTTGATATATTCACTATATATTAGTAAAGAAAAAGTATTAAAATATAAATTACAGTTATATATATAAAATACTATTAAATATAAGGTATTTTATTTTACTCTCTGGTAATTAAATATTATTAGAGTCTCTAAATTAGATAAGCTAGTAATATAATATATAATAGACTATAAATAAGTTCCCAAGTAGATAGAATATAAAATGGTTAAGATATCAATATTTAAAAATATGCTATTTTGTATGGAATACAGAGGTGAGCCCCCGGCCTACGTGAGCCTCCCGCTTACCGACTACGTTAGTTGAACTTTGGCTTATCTAATTAGCTTTAACCAACCATGGATTAGCACTGGCCGTTTCATTTGCTCCCCAGCCGAGGGAAGAAAAGGTTGAAAGAAGCAGGAAAAAAAAAAAAAAAAAAAAAATCAAAAGTGGGTTTCTTTTTGCCCTCCCCTCAGAACTCTCCAATTTTTTCCTTCTTCTGCTTTTTCTCTCAACACTTGGAGTGAACTTATAATCCTCCCCTCTTAAAATTTCTTTTTCTTTCATTCCACTCCTCCCTTCTGTCCTTGTCCCTTTCATCTCCCACGCCCCCCCCCCCCCCTTCATTCACCATGTCTGACGAAGTTTACGAAGGCGCCATTGGTATTGACCTTGGTGAGTTGCATACCCCGATTACTCTTGTGTATCTTGAAATCTTCTCCCCTTCAGCCTGTTTCTCTCTCTCTCCCTCCCTCTCCCTCTCTCTATTTTAAATCCCTTTGTCTGCAAGTAAGCTAACTAGTTTCCTAGGCACAACCTACTCCTGCGTTGCCAACTATGAAGGCACCAATGTTGAGATTAGTATGTCTACCTCAAGCTTTCTGAAACCGAGATTGTTGGTTAATCATTTTGTCACCTTCAGTTGCCAACGAGCAGGGTAGTTACACGACCCCATCCTTCGTCTCTTTCACCGAGAAGGAGCGCTTGATTGGTGAGGCCGCAAAGAACCAGGCGGCGATGAACCCGAAGAACACTATCTTTGATATCAAGTGCGTTACTGTATGAGCGTCAAAGATTTCATTTCTCATCCTAACATACTTTAGGCGTCTTATCGGCCGCCGTTATGATGATCCTATTGTCAAGAAGGATGTCGAATCGTGGCCCTTCAAGGTAGTTGATCAGGGAGGAAGCCCCGCCGTCGAGGTTGAGTACCTTGGAGAGACCAAAACTTTCACTCCCCAGGAGATCTCCTCTATGGTCTTGATGAAGGTAATTAGAGCCATGAACTCTATTGCTCGAATATATGATTGATGGTATATTACAGATGAAAGAGGTCGCGGAGACCAAGCTTGGCAAGAAGGTTGAAAAGGCGGTTATCACTGTGCCAGCCTACTTCAACGACAACCAACGTCAAGCGACCAAGGATGCCGGCGCTATCTCCGGTCTTAACGTCCTTCGTATCATCAACGAACCCACTGCTGCTGCCATTGCCTATGGTCTTGGTTCCGGAAAATCCGACAAGGAACGCAATGTCCTTATCTATGATCTCGGTGGTGGTACCTTCGATGTGTCCCTGTTGAACATCCAGGGTGGTGTTTTCACTGTCAAGGCCACGGCTGGTGATACTCACCTTGGTGGACAAGATTTCGATACTAACTTGCTTGACCATTTCAAGAAGGAATTTCAACGCAAGACCGGAAAGGATCTTTCGGGTGATGCCAGGGCCCTACGTCGTCTGAGAACGGCCTGTGAGCGTGCCAAGCGCACTTTGTCCAACGCCACCCAGACTACTGTTGAGATTGATTCTCTGTTCGATGGAGAAGATTTCAACTCGTCCATTACTCGTGCTCGTTTCGAGGACCTGAATGCCAAGTCTTTCTCTGGCACTTTGGAGCCAGTGCAGCAGGTAATCAAGGATTCTGGCCTTGAGAAGAGCAAGGTTGATGAGATTGTGCTTGTTGGTGGTTCTACTCGCATTCCTCGCATCCAGAAGCTTCTCAGCGACTTCTTTGACGGAAAGAAGCTTGAGAAGGTGAGTTCTCTTCGCTGTGGCATATTGTGATTGACACTGACTGATATATCTTCTAAGAGCATTAACCCCGATGAAGCTGTCGCCTACGGTGCTGCCGTTCAAGCTGGCATTCTTTCAGGAAAGGCTACTTCTGCTGAGACCCAGGATCTTCTGCTTTTGGACGTTGTTCCGTTGTCTCTTGGTGTTGCCATGGAGGGCAACATCTTTGCCCCTGTGGTCCCTCGCGGACAGACTGTTCCTACTATCAAGAAGCGCACTTTCACTACTGTTGTGGACAACCAGACTACTGTTCAGTTCCCTGTCTACCAGGGTGAGCGTACGAACTGTGCGGACAACACCTCTCTTGGAGAGTTCACCTTGGCTCCCATTCCTCCTATGAGAGCTGGTGAAGCTGCCCTTGAGTGTGTTTTCGAAGTTGACGTCAACGGTATCCTTAAGGTTACCGCAACCGAGAAGTCTTCTGGCCGTAGTGCGAACATCACCATCTCGAACGCTGTTGGTAAGCTCTCGACCACAGAGATCGAGCAAATGATCGATGGTGAGTACCTTTATCTGATCAGATTAACCGACACGTACCATAACTGACATCATTCAGATGCCGCCAAGTTCAAGTCTAGCGACGAGGCTTTCACGAAGAAGTTTGAGTCCCGCCAGCAGCTGGAGTCTTACATTTCTCGCGTCGAGGAGATCGTTTCCGATCCCACTATGTCGATGAAGTTGAAGCGTGGTAACAAGGAGAAGATTGAATCTGCTCTCAGCGATGCCATGGCTCAGCTCGAGATCGAAGACTCCACCCCCGAGGATCTCAAGAAGAAGGAGCTTGCCCTCAAGAGACTCATTACTAAGGCTATGGCCACTCGGTAAATGAATCTCGGTAGGACTTGCGGTCACCGCCGTAAGCAGGAAAAAAAAAGTAATCAAAAAACGAACTGGACGCGTTATCTACTTAGTATTATGAATAGAGGCCGATTTGCTGCTCTGTTACCTATGCAACAATTTTGACTTGAGTTTCGTGTATATGTGTGGGCTCTCTGGGCCAGGCGTGTGTTTAGGATTCGGTACAGATTGGTCAACATTCTCTAATATCTCAGAGAAGACCGTTGCTATGATTTTGATGAGCAGGTGAATCTATATACTCTTTGTCATGATATGTCGCGGTTATCATAGGTTCCAATTTCCAACGTCTGTAATGAGTTTACGGGCGTTGACTATGTAATAACCATACTTCCAGCATGTTGCAATAACTAGTTTAGCAATTTCTCTATTCTGTGCGAACCACAGGATGTATAACTACTGCATGGCCTAAGTCATCGGTATTATGGATGGGTCAGAAACCTAGCGATCTTTTTTATATTGGTTAGTGGGCCTTGAAGTCGGTGATCTACGGAGTGGAGTGTGTACGGAATATGGCAGTTCCCGGCGTTAAGGAGACGCTATCTGATATGTTCGAGCAAAAAGCCTTGCCTACTTCAACCATCACCTTTAAACAACTGGTCAATTGATTTTGCTGTCTGTCAGTGGCGGGCGGATACCAGGAAAGATGCAACGTATTCCAGTATTATCTAGTCATATTCAACGTCTATCATCCTCATTTACAAATGTCAGTGCGCCAGTCAACCTTCAACGGGGGCGCTGCTGGCTGCTTCAAGAGCGCAGTCTAGAAGTCCCAAACGGGGGAATGGCGTTTTCCACCTGTCCTCTACTTTTTAAGAAAAAAGATAAAACGAAGAGCAGTTCTACCTCAAGCCCTGACGCAAGGCCCCTTAAAGCTGCTGTTGTTTCTGACGATCCATATGATCTCGCTCAACTGCATCACGGTATTGCAGCCGCGGTGTGCCGTCTCAAAGACGAACTTTCCAAGCTGCGCCTGGGCGGAAGGCTTAACACAGATGCTATCGAAAATCTTCGTGTTCAGCTAAGCAAAGGAAGCAAAGAAACCTTGAAACTAGGGGATTTAGCTCAAGTCGTTCCTAAGGGAGGCCGCATGGTAATTGTACTGGTCTCTGAAGAAGATGTATGGCCTTTTTCTTTTTCATTTTTTTTTTCTTGCCCCTCCCCAGCCTTAATCTAGAGCCTTTGCTCTCGCAATTTTCTTAGTAGCTCTTTCTGACAAGATTGACAGCACATTAAACCCATAACTTCGGCGGTTGTGTCTTCCGATCTGTCCTTAACACCCCAGCCAGACATGCATAACTCTCTGCAACTGAATATACCAATCCCACCACCGACCAAAGAATCGCGGGATCAGACAGTCAGTGTCGCGAAAGCGGCCATGGAAAGGGCTACGGCGGCAGTCCGCGACTCGAGAAGCTCTGTACACAAACGCCTTCAGGATATGCAGAAGAAGAAAATAGCTAGACCGGATGACGTTCGGAAAGCACAGGAACAGATGGAAAAGGCAACGGAGAATGGGCAAAGGGAAGTGAGGGATCTTTTCGAGGCAGCAAAGAAGGCGATGGAGAGGGCATAACCTGAAGCGTTGGCCGGAAATGTTGTTCTGTGAATCATTGTAATTATTAGGCATCCAATTGTGCTACGGTCAATGCCAACGGCGCTGCCATGGTTCCAGTACCCGACGTAAAGTATGAATTGCTTGATATATGTAACCAGTATATGGGATGAACCAAGGAATACTATTGCTAATGTACAATGACTTCTCAGAAGTGTTTAGGCTCGCCTCACGGGGCGAGCGGAAGACAGGAGTGATTCCACTTTTGCAACAAATTGGGAGCTCTTCCCGGCAGCTTGGTAAGACTCGTTATTTCTGAGATTCTTCGTCACCTCACTGAGAACAGGCGATTGGGCAGCTTCTTCAGTACTGAGTTTGGGATAAGCTCCTTGGATGTAAGATTGCACTAAAGACTTCCTGTCCTCTGCACTCATCGGAAGGAAGCCGACGTCTTCGGGTTCTACTAAATCGCCTTTCCGCTGGGAGTAATTGTCCGCACGCTGTTGGGAGAGTTTCTTCGCGTCTGCTATAGCCTGTGCCTTTTCCTCCTCGTCGAGAAACTGAACGAACTGTCCCCTGAAGAGCCGCATGCCCAGTTCATAAGGGGGGACATAACCATTTGGAAAGCGGCCACTTAGAGAGGATAGCTTTTCGACAACCTCAGCAGTACTGGCAGTCGTACCCGTTGGAAAAGAAGGCCAGGTTTCCTTCAGGTTAGAGAGATCAGGGACCTGGGGTTTGTAGCGGCTAGGCGTTGGCCTTGATTTCTCAGCGAGTTCGCGATATACATTCTCCATTAAAGAGACATCGATTTCTTCCATATCTGTATTTTTCGCACGTTGAGGCCGTCCACTTTTGCGTGACTTGGTTGACAACTTTGTTGGGGGTTTCGGCCTCCGAGCGCGAATGGATGGTCCCTTGCGAGGGTTTCGCAACGAGGTACTCCTTAGAATGTTTGTGGACTGGCCATTGGCTGAAGGGGCCGCGAGAGATCTTGCGTCAAAAACGCGTCGAGGACGAGGTTTGTCGGAGTCTGTTTTTCTGGAGTTCAAGTTGGCTGGAGGAAGGTTGGTCTTCCTTGGAGAAGCGCGAGCATATGAAACACCCGGGTGAAGAGATCGAACTTTAGGGGCATCATTACCTACAAGAGTCAGGTGGAGATAGACACAACTAGGACTGCAATGATCTTGTGGCCTTACCAGATTGACTGGCGTCTTTCGCTCGTCCCTGTATGACCGAGAACTGACGAATTGGAGAAAGACACCCGTCTACTAGTCTTGTACGCTCATGGCGTAAGAGTTTGGTTCGAAGTTGAAACATCTTCGACGCCAATGAGCTATATAGACGATGGGCTGAAGTTAGAACAATTAGTGTAAAAATGTTCGTCACCTTCCCGAAGTACAAGATCGGTCACGTGGAGTTCATGTCCATCACGGGGTGTGACTTCCTCCGCAGGGCCGAAGGGGCTTTACATTAAATAGTTCATTTCTGTTTCTAATTGGAATAACTCAGACAGTACTCCTGTCTATATCGATAATGCTTCGCCGCAAGCCCACAGCAATAGCAATAACGTCGGAAGACCTCGCGACATTTGAGGAGGCACGACTTCGCAAATTAGCCAAGGAGAATAAAGGCCACGATCACAACAAAAACAGTCTCAACTTTGATCCTAGTGATGAGTTGAAACCTTTGCCGGGTGATAAGGCAAGAATTGTCCGGTCGCGGGAGGAGAGGATAGGATTAAGTCGACGCACTTGAACTGACAAGTTGTTATGGGTCATCTAATAACCCAACAACTGTCAGATTGGGGCCATGGTTTATTGTCTTCTTTTCGCATATCCTCGCAGATCTTTCTACCAGCTTCACAGAAATGGTCAAGTTGCCTTCGCTCTCCATGGTCCTCCTCAATGCATGTCTCCAAGTATTTTGTCATGCTACGGATGTACGTATATTTCACTTGAATATATGCATGGAATTCTTATAATGAAATGACATAGGAGTGGTAATGGGCAATAGCTTTTGCAGCTGTTATACTTTTCACTTGCTGTATAACTGTTAAATCAGGGGCTGGGGAGTTAGCAGATTTACAGAGTATTGGTTTATCTATGACCCAGGCTATTTATCTGTATTCCTAAAATCCCAACTGAACATCTCTACTCCGTATATAAGATATAGATATTTCCATGTATATCCCTTCTTAGCAGTGGCATCTTCGTGTAGTGAGGTGTGTTTTGCTGTGTTAAATTACAAAGTGCATGTCCATTTATTTATATTGTAGTCTATACCTCAATACCAAAGTTAATACTGAGATATATTGCTGAATACTGTATCTATGATGGCAACCAGAAAGTACATTCATAAGTTCACGCTGTTAGTGTTGAAGCTCCTGTTTACAAGCTCAGAGGATAGATAAAGACAAGGGGTATTTTAGAACGAAAGATATCTATATCACAGAGGTCATTCATACAGCAACTTTCTCCAAGCATAGAACAACTGAGATAGTTCCCAGGGTCTATGTATATACTAAATACTCAACGTGCACGCTTCTGAGTGTGCTCTGTACCCATATCAACAGAATAATTCCAGCGTCGTTTTAAGCCGTTAGGATCATAAACGCTGGCAACACTCTGTTGCCAGTCACGCGCTGTGAAGAGTACTTGTTGTCCATTGAACTGAGGCGGTGAGATAGCCTGAGGGGGAGTGACTGGTGTAACCTTGGTTGTTTGCCCATACTGGATAGGGTATTGACCTGCCAAAGGCGCTTGAACCCCCTGAACTGAATTGTCCATAGCCATTGGTGGAGAATTCGTACTCACTGTGGATGGCGCCATGGAGAATGCCATGTCCCACTGGCTAGATAGGAAACATCAGCAAGAGTCTGAAAGAATGCCTATCTCTGTGGTTTGCTTACGTGATGATACGGGTCGGATCCCAGCTATTCTCGTCAACGAGAGGGGCATTCATTGATTGGCTCGAGACAGGCTGGGGCGGCATCATCCCCAGAGAATGGAGCTGAGAGCAATCGGACTTTGAATCTTCAGTACTAGCTGATATTGGTGGGGTGATCGGATAAGGGTTGTAACCCACTCGACCCCGGACGCCGCCAGATACCTGACTTACATGAGGTTGGTATTGTGAGTCGAGAGGCGGCGGGCTCGGATGGTATGGCTCCGAAGGACTTCCATAAGGGAATGTGGGTTTAAGCTCGAAGGGCCTATTCACATCGGCCGAGAAAGCCAGCCGCAAGGAGTCGATCTGAGCCTGCATTTCTGGCATCGGCCAGGCAGATGAGCACCTCTCGAGGATACGCATGTGTCGGGCAAAATAATCGCGCGCGTCTGTGTGGAAGTTCGGATCAGGAGAGGTTATCGCGACCTGGGATTTGCGTTAATTGTTTGATCCTGGTATGGTGGGAACACAAACGCACCAAATGCAACATTGTGCAAGTCATGATGCAGTAAATCGCAAAATTTATACCTCTTTGCATAGAGAGCAGACCTGGGAGGCCAAAACGCTGTAGGATAGCTTCTTGAAGTCTACACAGATACTTAGCCGAAGAGTAACACAAAGCCATATGCATTTTCCACCCCCCGCCTGCGGCAAAGGATTTAGATGCAAGCAACTGAGGTCGGTGTAGTAGAATAATGCCCAAATGGCAATGAGAATGCATATTAGCCACAAAGTGGGACGGTATCCACGGGGGTGAGCCATCAGGAGGATAGCTAATCTGTAAATCTGAAGGAAGACCCTGAAGCCAATCAGTGAAGAGAGGGTTCTTCTCAACGAACTTTGGATTGGCCCCCCAGTCTTTTTGCCTCTTGATCTTGTGGTATATGTCCGTGATGATACGAATGTGATGAGCATTCTGGACAAAGTAGGAGTACTGTCTGGATCGATTGATTTCAAACTGATCAAGGTCTTTAATATCCAGTGTAGGATCCATACAAACGGTGTCAGGATTTACACCGTAGTCCGATCGACCTTTGAACGTTAGTACTAGAAATATCACCAATACCGGTAACGTACCTTGCGGTGCACCAATCATTACTTCAACAACCAGGAGGGCTTGCCACACTCTCGTCTGTACCAAACACTCTATAGGGTTGAGATCACAGAGTCTTTGCTCTGTATGTGTGTTGCAGTGTTCATCAATTTCCAAATCTTTAGCCATTGAAACAATTGTTTTCACAGTCTGCCACGAGCGGTAGTAGTAGCCTTTCTTTGGTACGGATTCTCGGGCTTTCAGAAGTAGAAGCAGTGCTTGGATCGTGCTTAGGCGGGGTACATCCATGAAACTAGACTCGTGCCCTAAATGTGATTCATAGTCAAAACTAGTATACTAAACACAATATCCTATTCGAAGACAAGGGAAAGGAATGCGCATAAGTGAGGGAACCTACTATTCGCCAATGCGAGCCACTGTGCCCCCTGAGCTGGATCATCTGACTGCCTTCCCGCGCATGCAAACAACGCCTCCAGCAGAAGGGGAGATATCGAATTCCGATCATACTGCCACTGGTAGTACAAATGCGATCGATGCACCACAGGTACATAAGGGTGTATATCATCAAAATAGATCTTGAAGTAGTTCATGACCTCTTCATCGGAGGGCATAAGCTCCGGAGGAATGCGAATTGTAGAGCCTGCACCAGTACTGAGAGGAGGCAATGGTTCTTCTGCTTCATCTTGTACAGGGATCTCTGGTTCGCCCTTCTCTTTCTTTTGCTGCCTTATGTAAGGCGCTATCTGTTATATTAGCGGACCTCCCCCCAAAAATCAGAAATTAGGATGAAACCATACCTATACCAGTCTCATCGATCTTGAGTTCACCAAGGACCTCGCTAAGATCCTCAGCTGTGGACTGCTCGTGATCACCATATACACCGCTCTCTATAGTTCCCAAGCCCTCCGTCTGAGAGGGGAAAATCTGCTGTTGCTGGTAGGTATGATGTGAGACCGCTATGGCAGGTGATCCTACTTCATACATGCCCGGAGGGTGGGAAGCAGAATGGGTGAATTGATGATATATTCCCATTGCATCGCTATATGAAGGTATACTGCCCACCGCAGCTTGGCCGCTGTCTCTATAGCCCTGGGGCATGGGAAAGGACGAAAACGATTCCGCTGTATTGGATGCACCAATGGCATCTGTCGAGTTGGCCTCAACAGCCTGCCCCGTGGAGAATTCGTTGTCCTGCCCAACGGTAGGAGGTACACATACTAACTTAAGACGTGTGCATGCCGAGCAAGGCCATGTGTTTGTTGTAGCAGCGTCGCATTTTATTTTACGCTTTCTGCAGCCATTACACGCTCGCATCACTAGAAGACGTTTCAGTGAATAGGGGTTTGATGTTGAACATAGGATGGTGACATACCCTTGAGTCTTTTATGCCTGTTGTGTTCGTCAACGAATACATAATCTGTTGATTAGAGCTTATCAGTGACTGGCTTCAACCGAATCTTTGTTGCGCTTCATCGAGATATAGAGCAATATTGATGCCTTACTTTTGTGGCCTTCTCTTGGGGGCCCCGTCGGCGGCGTGAATGAATAGCCCTGCATTTCCAGATCGGGATTATAGAAACCAAGAGCGATCCTCAACACACAAAGTTCAAGTGACTCAGCAGGTATAATAATGACGCCTGAAGATTTATCTCCAAGGCCTGCCTTGTCTAGATAAATCTGAGCACGCGCGCACACACAAGCACAGAAAAACAAAAAAAAAGAGATAAAAAAGAATGGAGGACAGATTGACAGGTTGATGAGAAGGCTAAAGGAAGAGTCGTGAACACGTCCAACCTCGGGCAAGGTATGATGCAAAGTATATGGTGGTTTCTGTTCCCTGATGTGTGTTTTGCTTCTCCTGAAGCGCAAATCGCCGAGGCAATTGGTGTCACCTTGCAGGGTAGGAGCTATGGGACAACGAAGAGGTCCGAAAAGAATAAATGGAGGAGAAAGCTGGATAACAGTGTCCCGCGGTGATGGTTGATTTCCCTCTCGCAATGATTTGGCGTTTTGGCTTTACTTTTATATTTCCGCAAAGGCAATAAAGGTTCTGGTTTGCTACCACAAATAGAGCAACCAAGAAGCGACTTGTCAGATATTCTAGGGTCCCCGAAACTTGCGGCGTGACAATCGTGGTTAGAGTGACTGCGATTTTGATTAGGTGAAGCTATTGGCAACAATCTAGTGTGAGGTTGAATGGACAATAGTCGATTGATTTGCGAAAAGCGTAAAGGTTTGGGAAGAGAACCTAGCCTTACACTGCGAAATGTCAGTCATGACTTAAAGTTATAGTGCGGGGATAAGAAGGGGAAGCAGTTCATGAGGGAGTCATTGGGAAGTGGAATAAAGCTTCAACGTGCCAGCAAGTGATAATTTTCCCCGAAGCGATGCGCACAGCCTTTGCTTAGCAACAGGTTGACGAAAGGTCTGCTGATAAAGAGTGATATCGAACGTGGTAGCAATGGAACGAGGGAAAGGAGACGGCCGTCTAAGTTCAGAATAGCTTACAATAGAGAGACTGGAAGCTTAACCAGCCTGCATCGTGGCTTGATACCGTCAGTGTATTGAGACTCTCTGTTGGGATTTGCTGTAGGAAAGCGAACTGAGCCGGCGCATCACCCCCCAATTTACGGTCAGCATTTGAATGAAACGTGCGGACCCCGGGCGACTGTGCGGGAAATACTGGAATGGAAGAACGCAGAGGCTACCAGAAGCTGGCGGTCCAAGATTTGACACTGGAGGACGCGATACAATCTAGTATCAGGGGAATCAGAAGCCCACCAATACGATGAATTTCGCATGCCGTGTCGTCGACGTTACGTCCCTGATTAGCTGATAGATGCCTGGCATCTCATAGTAGCCAGATAGTATGGTACACACGGATCAAAAATATCGAACAATGATGGAAAAGGGTAGTGGCGAAACCAACCACAATAGAAGAGTGGATAAACACGATCAGCCCCCAGAAGAAGTGGGTGCGAGTAAAAGAGTCAACCAGCCTAGGCGCAGGTGAGGAGAGGATCGCCTCGGATGTTGAGGGGCCGCATGATTGCCGCTCTTCAGTACTTTCTACTTAGTAGTCGCCGAAAGTGCCAAGAACCATGATGATGCCTTGCCAAGTTTCCATGACTCGTTGATTCTACGGAGAGCATGGAGTAAGTATGCTAGCCTTGTCACTAACCTACTAGTTCTCGGGTTTCTTCCTCTACTTTGCCCTGGATTTATTTAATAATTTCTTTTGCTTTACAACTGTATACTATATAGTGATGATATTATAGTATTCTGGAGCCCGATGAATATCTGCGCGTGTATAGGGTAGATGTAACTAGTCGCAGGATTTGGATAACTGGCAGGACTCTTCAAGCTCAAGGGAAAGTTTCCTATCTCTAAAACAAGGATATACCTCATATTGAAGCTCTTGATGCTATATATACACCTTGCTTTCTGGGTAGTTCCCGATAATTTTGTCCTTGTCTTCATAAGCACTCCGAGTAATATTTCCCCACTCCATGCCGGGTTGGGGGCTTGGGTTAGTATGTTGTGTTAGCAAGATAGGGTATGTACAAGACTATTCTAGGTACGATTACGATATGCAAGCCCAGCCCTTTCTTGGCGAGGATCATGATCCCATATGAGCCGTATCAATGGCTAGGAGAAAAATTACTATCTAGCAATAATTCACGAAAATGATTTTGAAGGCACTCTCCTTGAATTCGGACTAGAATCACACAAACCTTACATTATGTAAATACCAGATAGATTGTCCCAAGGTTTAACAATATCTCCTGCGCTACTTGCTTGACTTTGAGGTGGGGAATTTTGTAGAATCTCTCAGGATCTTTTAAAGGCATGAATATAACATACCTCTACTGTGGGAACAAGAGAGTCAAAGGTAGAAGATATGTATTCAACGCTTCTGCACACAAAGAGATATTGAGGGACTGCTCATGGTAAGGAAAGATTGTGGATACTATCGGATGATATAATAGCTTTGGAAAAGGATTTAGGATCTTTGATATAATTGCAGAGCGCGAAGCGCTCCGCAATCAAAATCGTAAGCTAGATTCAATAAAGGGAAAATAATTTTTCCACGTGGCCGTTCCCTATAGTGAACTTACCCCTCGTCTAGATAACATCCATGTGTATCCTAGATTGATTCCCCACTCAGCAATAAAGGCTGTTAGCTACTTATTTATCCACAAAATGGCATCCGAAATGCAGAACTCGAATCCCACAATATTGAATGCTGCCGATCTTCCAACACGCTTGCGGCCCGCACTGTCTCGCAAACCCGGTATCCTTGAGAGTGGTCTCTTCGCACCCGCTTTTCTTTCTGCGGATGCGAGCGAAATTCTCATAGATGAGTTTACTTCATCTTCATCTTCAGAAAGTGATGATGATCTGTTGGAAGAGCCGATAGATGAACAAGAAATCTACGGTAAGGCGTGACTGCTTGCTGAAGGATCGTCGTCAAACAAAACACTGATTTAATCACTAGATCTTGTGTCGACTATATCTGATCCGGAGCATCCGATATCGTTGGGAGCTCTAGCGGTTGTGTCTCTTCCTGATATTTCTATTACACCAACTCTCTCATATGTACCAGCTTCGCCCCTTCGAACAGTTACTGTCCTCATCACCCCTACTATCACGCACTGTAGCCTCGCCACAGTCATAGGTCTCGGTGTACGTGTTCGGCTTGAGCAATCTCTTCCTCCCCGCTTTCGTGTGGATGTGCGAATCAAAGAAGGGACACACAGCACTGCTGATGAAGTTAACAAGCAGCTGGCGGACAAAGAACGAGTGGCCGCCGCTTTGGAAAATGGAACACTAATGGGCGTTATCGCGAAGATGCTAGAGACATGCCAGTGAACTCGAACTATATGGCAGGCTAAAAAGTAGCGCTCTTGTGCGCTCATAAATATAAATGACTTGGCACTGCCTTCATAAGGATACTCGGTCAATCTTTTATTCCATCCAAACATATAACTACCTGGAATTTGTGGCATACCATTGAACTCCAGAGATAAACTGGTCATGAGTCTAAAACGCCACTCTCCTTTAGGCCTTTCCAGAGTTCTGGTTCCAAAAACTTGCTTACGGTGACATCCTCCGCCAAGCCTTTCCGTCTTCTTGTCTTTAGCACGAAGTCTCGAGCAGTGGCCATTGCAGGGGCCATCTCTAGTGGTTTTGTCTTGACATCACGATCAAGCGGATCCCCTGGAACTACACTCCATTTATCGAAGACAAGACTAACTGCAGCTTGGCCTTGGGTGTGAATCCGGAGATCTGTCTCGAACCCGAATGAGTCTATCACTGGAATTAGGCCACGGACTGAATAAAGCGGTGTTCCGGCGATGGGCCCATCAGATAGGACATGGCCTCTCCTGCGCGCAAGGACGGTATACACCGAAGCGACTGCATCCGCAGGCCCTGTCATCGTGCAGGAATAGATGGGTTCCATCAAGCGAGGAGATGCCATGAGAAACGATGAGTAGATTGCGCGTCGCGCAGTGGGAATGATTTGGCCACCACCTCTGTAGATAACCTGGTCGGCAAGGGTGACGTCTGTGAGCCTGAATTTCGTGTTTCGAATTGCTATAGCCAGTTAGCATAAACAAGTATTGGATGAATAGATATAGTTCAAGCTCAGTGCCATGTTGCTTCGAGTTGAATGGGTTTATAATTAGTTAACTTACGCTCTTCACAAAGTGGGCCTTCCCTCGTACCCCAACTAAAACCTTGAGTGATAGAGTCTCTGACGCTCCCGAGAAGCTTTTTATCAACCTGGGATGGCAAGGTATCGTCTTGTAATATGTTAGGCCCCAGTTCGTCTGGGCCGAAGGCCCAAATGCTTCTAGCTGCTAGTTTATCCCAATCGTACTTGTCTTCGAAAAAACGAGCCACTTTGCGAATTGGGTCTTTGATGCTGACTTTGCCGCTCTCGATATCCTCAGCGATTCCGTCGTCCAAAGGTTCTGCTATCATGGTTATCTTATTCTTTTTGTTTGGTGTGATAGAATAACACATAATGGCTGAAGTCTCAACAGCAGTTTCACAGAAGCGGGTGACAGGATCGGAGACCTTAATTTCCATCTCGGAGAAGAGCCGCCGCAAGTCATGAAGCACGCAGTCCATATAGAGCTCACCGGTCCCCAAGATGACATGCTCCCCAGACTCCTCGACTTTTGTTGAAATTAGAGGATAGCTCTTGTTGACTTTACGGAGACCATCAAGCATTTTTGGTAATTCAGACGGGTTAACAGGTTCAACAGCGACCTTGAAAACAGACTCGGTCATATGTCGAATTGGTTTAAATATGTATGCTTCTTCGTCATCCTCAAGCTTCAGAGGCACGATAGTCGCTGTCTTCACGATTGAATTATCCACGCCACCCAAGAGAACCAAGTTGCCGGCCGGAACACCGCTGGTCGTGACGTTATAGCCAGTCTCAGCAATCCAAATGTCCGATATAGTTGCAGTCACCATATCTTCTTCGTCTTCAGGAGTATAACCCTCACCTAGCACTCGAACTTGTTGTCCAGGATGAGCAGTCCCGCTCATAATTCTTCCAAATGCATTGAAACTTGAAGCGTCTGTGCTCGTAAAAAGTTTCGTGATATGGACAACGAGAGGGCCATCTGTACTACAAGTGGCCATAGCGGCTGCCACTTTCGAATCGAGGGGTCCAGTGTAATATCGGTCCAGCTTCATCTGCGCGCCCTCAACTGGAGAAGGTACATGTTGTACTATCATGTCTACAAACCCTGTAGCAGGACCGAAGAACTGTCCGCAAACCAGTTTGAGTAGCTCCTTTGCATCTGATTTCAATTGGGATGGCTTCAAGTGGATGCCGACACTTGCGAGTGTTTGTTTCAAGTCTTCTGGACTTTCACTTATGGCGTGGGAATAGAGCTTGTATATTGGCTCAAGAACAAACTTGACAAAAGTTCTCTTAGAATGTTCTTCGACCCCTTTCCGCGTGAATTTCCGGCTTGTTGGATTGAAAAAGATATCGCCCCAAAGACGCAGGGCAAAATCTGAGGTCTCAATTTGCGGGTAGTTCTCCGCATACATCCTGGCAAATGATTGAAGAGTGAAACACCATCCCATTGAAGCGCACGCAAATGCGACATTGCCCTTTTCCGGGCTTAGTCGCCATCGTTCGCCTTGCCCAGGCAAGATATTTTCAATGACAGTGTTGACTTCTTCAATTACATGCTTGAGCTTGAAATAGGCGTCGTTGGGTGGTATCTTCAGTTCGAGGATCAGCCGATCCATTTTGTTCACAACCATGGTCAAGGGAAGGCCCTCTAACACAGCGTGCTTAATGATTTGCTCAGTATTCGACTGTACTCCTTCCACAATATCAACGACTATGACCACGCCATCAACCAGTCGTGATGAGGCAGCTACTTCATCCACAAAATTCACATGCCCCGGGGTATCAAGAATGTTGAACAAATGAGACTTCCCCTTAGTGCCCTGAAGAACTAGGCTCATAGGGGCTGATTTAATAGAGAGGCCTCGCTCCCTCTCTAGAAAGTGGATATCGGTATAGCGAAGCTGTTCTTCCTTTCTCCTACCTGCTCGCTTCTCCAGCCGTTCAGTCAAATCATGCGTCTGCATTACAAGCATATCCATGAAAGCGGTCTTTCCATGATGTAAATGACCAACAAGCGCAACATTTCTTATTTGTTCAGGGAAATTCAAAAGATCAGTCATGAATTCTCTTGAGAAATGAACCGGAGGGAGGTCAGTCTCTTCAATGGCAAACTTCTTTTGCTGTACGGGGGCAACAATAGGCTCGGAGAGAGGTTGCGTATCTTCTTCTTGAACTAAGGTTTCTACCTCTGTACCGTAGACTTGTTGTGCGCTAGGGTAGTACTGTTTGTCTTCGTGTAAAATTACGGCGTTTGATGGACCTTCTGTAACGGTATATTATCAGCGCTGGCCAAACCCAGAGGCTTTAAGAGAGTACCCACCGTCCACTTCCATGGACTGCTGCTCAGAGGTATCTTCATCTTCCTCCTCTCCAAACGCCTCGTCGAAGTTGAAAGCTCGAGGTTTCACTTCTTCGTGCTGGTCCTCTTCATCTGAATCTGCAGCCTCTCCAATATAGTTGCCAAACCTATGCGGTCTTAATGAGAATTCAAAGAATTAGAGCGTTAAATTTAATGCAACTTACTCATCATAGAGATCATCCATTGTGTTGTGGAAAAGATGGTTCAAGCTGTCAAAAACTTGTCACCAGTGAGCCGGCGCATCTCTTTTTGTTTCAAGCTGCTGGAAGTCCCGTCCAATGGACTCACCGAGTGGTCCGTGCATTCACCTTACCATTTTGATAGCCCCGCCGCGCGGATGCCGCGTCCAGAGAGGGGTCCTTAAAGGACATAATTTCTCACCCCTTGTTCCTGTATCAGAGATATCACACTGCCATCCTTAGCTGAAGAGATCAGTTCTTTCTTTTTACCCCCATTCTTTGCCTGTTCTCCCCAATCAATTTTCTCTATTGCCGGCAGATTTTGTCAACACAGGTACATGCCACTTACCACGCACAGAACCCCTTTAAAGGCTTTGGTTTGAGTCCTCTAATCAGCTCTCGCAGGCCAATATGTCTTCTCTTCCACCGGTCTATATTGTTTCCTCTGCCCGTACCCCAGTGGGCTCATTCTTGGGGTGAGATTGGCCTGGTACTTTGTCTATACTAAAAACATTGACTCACTGGCTATCCTCTTCTACAGCTCGCTTTCAAGTCTCACTGCCCCGCAGCTTGGGTCCCATGCCATCAAAGGTATGATAACTCTTGAGTGGTAGTACGTGTCAACGTTCTAACAAAGTCGAAATTCAGCTGCGCTCAGCAGGGCGGATGGAATCAAGTCGTCTGATGTCCAGGAGGTCTTCTTCGGCAATGTCATCTCCGCAAAGTGAGTCAACCTCTACTCTTATACCTAGTAACCAGCACCAAAGGCACACTTACATTCTTGTTCTATGGATCAGTGTTGGACAAAATCCTGCTAGACAGTGTGCTCTCGGCGCTGGTCTCGATGAGTCAACTGTGTGTACCACAGTTAACAAGGTGTGCGCGTCTGGCTTGAAGGCGGTTATTCTTGGTGCGCAGACTATCATGACTGGCAATGCGGATATTGTCGTAGCAGGTGGTGCTGAATCTATGTCTAACGCCCCTCATTATCTTCCAAACCTTCGCACCGGTGCGAAATACGGCAACCAGAGTCTAGTGGATGGCATCATGAAGGATGGCTTGACAGACGCAGGAAAGCAGGAACTTATGGGCTTGCAAGCTGAGGAGTGTGCCCAGGATCATGGCTTTAGCAGAGAACAACAGGATGACTATGCCATTCGCACTTACGAGAAGGCACAGGCAGCTCAAAAGGCTGGCCTTTTTGATGAAGAAATTGCGCCTATTGAACTTCCCGGTTTTAGGGGCAAGCCAGGTGTGACTGTGGCACACGACGAAGAACCAAAGAATGTGAGGAAGATATTATCTTCTACGAATATGTTAAATCGTGGACCACTGCTAATATGTTCGTCGTGTAGCTCAACCCAGACAAGCTTCGAGCTATCAAGCCTGCATTTATCCCCGGATCCGGCACGGTGACAGCCCCGAATTCCTCACCTCTTAACGACGGTGCTGCAGCTGTTGTCCTCGTCTCAGAAGCTAAACTGAAAGAGCTTAACCTGAAGCCTGTTGCGAAGATTCTTGGCTGGGGAGATGCCGCCCAGCAGCCGAGCAAATTCACGACTGCCCCAGCATTGGCGATTCCCAAGGCCCTCACCCATGCAGGTGTGGCGCAGAATGCTGTTGATGCGTTTGAGATTAACGAAGCGTTCAGCGTAGTTGCTCTGGCCAATATGAAACTCCTGGGGTTGGCTGAAGACAAAGTCAACATCCATGGTGGTGCAGTGGCTATCGGCCATCCTCTCGGCGCCAGTGGTGCTCGTATCTTGACTACATTGCTCGGTGTATTGAAAGCTAAAAATGGTAAGATTGGTTGTGCTGGGATTTGCAATGGAGGAGGTGGTGCTAGCGCCATTGTTGTCGAATCTCTCGTCTAAGTCATGGTGAGTTCCCCATGGTTTTGGTATGGAGCATAGGAATACTCAGACCAGCAGCACATGAAAGGAAAATTCGGAGTACATAGACATCTTTTGATTGCAATGCTTTGCTATATGGGGCGAAGAATCCTCAATCTAAATTTAAAAAGAAGAAGAAGAAGAAACCCTTCGCGTTTAGCGTTATAATAAGCTTAGTGATCTGTGTCGAGGCTCTTCTAAGCTTACGGTTCAGGTAGGTTGTCTTGTTATTGAATCATGAAATACCTACCTTATGTAGATTTGAAAAGTGGTGGATCATTGGTAACCACTCAGAACGTCAGAATGCTGTGGATATTGAGTTATGCTGCTTATTTCGAGATTCTTTCACCGGGTTGAATTGATTTTTACTCTGGAGTATACGATATTTCTACGGTGGATATACCTTGGTCAAAATCTACCTAACTCTCTATACTTGATAAGCTATAATAGTAGGCTTGACAATGGAACGATGATAATATTTACCTGATGTCGCTAACTCAGATGGATATTTGTCTCGTGAATAAATTCATTTACTCTCTGAACCTTCTTCACCTTAATGGAGAGAAAGGGTCAAAGGACCGAGCAAAAAGACAGAACGTTGATCATGCAATGCATATATAATATGCATGCTAAGAGCTACAGCGAGCACTTGTGCCTAATAATAAACATTACAAGGGATATCATCACATAAAGCATTAGGTATACATACAAGCTTTCAGGGCTTACACTAATATAGCACAATGAAAGCAGACAGGGACTGGGAGTTTTCTAGGCAAATGCACCAACTAACGCCATTAACAAAGCCCCGCAGGCAACTGCTATACATGCTTCAACGCGCTTTCGACCATGTAAGGTTGCGTAACTTGATTCACTCAAAAAGTCTTCGGCCAAAAGCTCAACCAGGCCAGCGAACAGTAGAAGCCCGCTGCTTATCGCATTCGTAATACCAACCATAAGCAAACCAGTAGTGCTCGTTGGATCATATAGGTTATGTAAGATAAGACCGATGGCTTGGCCGAAGGGTGTTGTAGTCCCATATGCAAGTGACATGAGCCATGGCTTCATGGAGGATGGGGCAAAAAGGCCCGGTATAAGTGATGCAATGCGTGAGCCAAGAGCGAAACCCTCGAAAGTCTGATGGAAGCAGATGGCCACGAGTAGTACAACGAATGATGTCCCTGTTGCAACACTAAGGGCCATGCCAATAAAAATACTATGAAAGAGTATTCCCGCTTCAAGCAAAAGACACTGGAGTAACTGACGTTGCGGGTTCTGTATGGACAGCATGGAGTTCGTCTGTTCACGCGATATAACCGGTGAAGGCTGACCCAACTCAGAGTGTGGATAAGGGCTTTGATGCGCATTCGTACGTGAGTCATCATAAGAGTCTGATCCCTCAAGACCAACCCCTACATCCTCTTTGCGCGCAATTAACCTCGCGGACTGTGAAAGAGTACCGTCGTCTGTTGAGTCACTCAGCAGGTGACGGGAGGATTGTGGTAGGCTATGTGTATAGTTGCCGTTCGGTATGCCCTCGAGGTGAATATTCTCCGTTGACTCTTGTAAATATTCGGAACCTTCATTTTGATAGTTGTTCGCAGTGTCCTCACCGACATCACTAATCAGATGGTCATATTCACTCCCATGAACATGGCCTGCTCCTTTCATGGCAAAAAACATCTCTACCACCACCACAACAAAGACGGAAATCATGGCGACAAAGCCAGCCATGGCACGGTATGATTCACTCCAAAATCGAGGAAGACATGGATCTGTCAGGGACACAAACGCTGTGGGGAGTAAATGAACGAAGGCCGTAGCTATCAACACACCTGTCCCAAAATGTCTGGAAAGAAAAAGAAAGCGCCGTGGTATTGGTAGGCGTGGGAACCGGCGGGCAAGTACAGGAAATGAACAAGCTTCGTGAGATAAATCAGAGAACACTCAGCCGTGACTTGATTGATAGATGAACATACCGAAGGTACTCAGCACTAAAATGAGGAAAAGTGCCATTACATGTACTGGGGTGTTGTAAACACCTCGATCCTTTGAGCCACACAATGGCTTATCATTGTCAGAGTCTCTGATTCCGCTTCTTCGGCGTAGCTCCGCCCGCAGAACTGTATCAGGTATATATGCACTCAATTCAACTGCGCTTTCGAGGTCTATAAGAGTTCTGGATCAGTAAAGGTGATCCTTCATGTGAAGCTTCCAATCGAAGGTAGAAAGCGTATTTGAAATGGTTGTTGATCGTATTTCTCTAAAACTCACTAAATTTTCCCAACCCATCTCGCTGCCACCTTGTGAATTCATTCATTTTCCTGTAGACCTTATGTAATCTTGGATTGAAACCAGATCCATGACCTAGGACAAGCTCTGAAATTTCCAGCCGATCAATCACGATTTTTGAAAGGTTGTCGCTCTTCGACTAAACATACAGTTTGAGATACAGGAACTAGATAATAAATAAATATAAGGAATATTCGCTGTTTCACGATAATGTTGAAGCATGTAGAGGTTTGTTACGTGGACGGGGCTCCCACGCTGGGGAGAAGGACATGTTGTAATTCGGAAGGCCGTGAAGATAAAAATGGACACGCGTTAAATTAGTTCATATTATCTTATCGATCAATTTCCTTTTTGCTTAGTAACAGTCACTAGTGTCACTAACTAGTTAACTAACTACTTAGTTACTATTCAGCGCAAGTTACCCCTCAAAGCACTCTAAATACTATATGTTTATAGTACTCTAGTAAAAGATGAAAAATTAGAAATAAAATTAAGTAAAACAATCCGTGAAATTGCATTGCTGGAAAGCGATACTAGCCCATTCTGGTGTATGTGCAGTCGGGTGGCTTTACTACTAGAAACTACCTGTTTCTCAGCTTAGTCCAACCACTGGTCCCTTTGAGCCGATTAGAGCTTATAGGCTCATTTGGAAACCCTGGACTAGTAGGAATGTTTTCCGATGGTTCCATGTTTGACATATCTAATTCACCCTTCTCACCATTCCGATTGACTGAGGATGCATGAACAGGTTGCAGTGGTGCCTCAGGTATGCTATCCCATTCCTTCTTCTCCAAAACTTCCCATTCCGCACTGGCCATTTCACCTAATAAGCTTGACTTTAATTTGTCTGCAACTTTAGTCGGAGTTGGAAGCCTCCATGTACGCGTGAACTCCGTACCCTCCGAAGCAGCGAGGAAAGAATGCACAGTACCATGGGAGTAGTGGCCTAACATTGGGAATGACTTTGTCCGCTGGATGATTGTTTTGGGTGAGTCTTTCGTAATCTTCACCTTTGGTTGTATGTCTCGACCGGCGAATGCTCGAACGAGTGTTGATGTTTGTGCGGGAGGCGCAACAAGTAGCTGCCACATATGTTTTCCAATGCTGCAAATCTCCTCCCAAGAATCTGACGTTATATGGAGTCCTTGAGTTCGGCAAAGCCATGAAATATTCCAAGCCAATAGCGTCGCCCCCTCTATAAAGAGAGCGTAGGTCCCGGGGTCCTCCTTGGCTAGTTTTGGGAGACTTCTGTCAACGGAGAGTGGTCGGGCTCGGGGTAAGTAAGGACGCGGATCTGCTGTTCGTGACGATGCTGAACTAGAAGGCGAGGGCTGCAACGTTCTTGATGCGGGCAACATTTCACGAAAGAGATAAGACCCAGAGGGTGCGTATATGGTAGGCGCAGGATGATTCCGGTGAGGAAGTGTGATCTCTGCAGGAAGCCTTAGGGATAAGTAATGCGAAACAAGTACTAGGAGTTGAGCAATGTAGGAGAATGACGTTGAGATTTGAAGCGGTGTAGCACCTGTATTTCCATTAATATTTGCTTAGCATTTGACAAATGAAACATCGCAACTTTCCATTCATGTCCCTAAGATCTATGATAGGTATGCCACCGACTGTATATGCCTCTTTAACTTCACCATCTTTCTTTTTGACTTTCTGCCGTAGATTATAAAGGTAGGCGGCTTCGCGGCATAGAAATATCCGAGCCTCAGCAGTTTTACTGTGTAATGAGTGCCACAGGTGGTCCGTTCTTTTGGCATTGTTATGAATGCCAGATAAGATGGCGGCTTCACGTTCCGCAAGTTGATATTTTGCGGATCCTGCATCCGAGCGACGTTGCGCTAGCGTAAGCTTATGTTCGGAAATGTTGCGCTTTTTTTTTTTGATCTCCAGCCGTAAGTTTTCTGTCCGACTTTCAAGTAGCTTTCTCCTCAAAGAGGATTTGGCTTTCTCATTGGCGATGATTTGGATAGACCAGGCTACGTGGTCCTCATCTCTGAGACTCAGAAGTCCGGATTCAGGCCGTTCCAATGATGCTTCGTGAGTATTTGTAGAGGACACTGCGTTGTTAATCTGTTGTCCCAAGGACTCATTTTCTAGAAGAATCCTGGCATTTTCGATTCGAAGCTGATAGAGCTGATTGCGGGCACAAGAAGGACAAAGGTATCTAAGTCGTGATGTTGGAGCACGAGAGCATATGTGACAGTTCATCCCAAGAGTTCGGTTTTGATCCGATATGATGTGTGATGTGAGAAGTATGGAACTGCAGAGCGTTGGATACCGGTGAGGCGGCCAGATGCGGCAGATTTATTGTGACGCAACATCACGTCCCGCTTTCGGCAATATTAACTAGTGCATAGTAGTATTTGTCTTGTGATTGAATCCTAGCTCTTCAGTATCCACGAAAGAGAAAAGAAACAAAGCTGCTGGTAGCAATGAGAAGACTTTAAACTTAATTATATATGCTAGATATTATATTCTAGTTGTCTCCTTGTTAGCAGTGATCTGTATCTATGTACTACTATAGTACTTTAGGGAGTATGTAACCGGTAAGTGAGCGGGCCACACTATATTCTATACAAAATGGCATTTTTAGAAATTGAGTACCTCAACAATCAGAGCTAGTAGTGATCTGAATTCTAGTATATATACTAATTCAGTCCTGTAGACATATATATTAAATAGAGAAAACTCTAGATTTAATCATATACTAGATAATATAAATTATAATATATTTTTTAGTAATTTATATATAATTATATTTAAAGTGGAAGAGATAGAGCCAGGGCACCCTATTCCACAAGGCCAAAAGGTCAGTATAATTCGGGATCAACGATCCCGATGTCCTGGGACTGACTTATATAGAACCCACCGTTACATAAAGTCTCAGAAAATTTTATTAAAAATCTATTAAAATATATATTCTATTTAGATACCCTATATTTATATTGGTATAAGATATTATATTGTTGCTATCTCTGGTTTTTGAGATAACTGGATTATAAAAGTACCATTTTATATGGAATACAATGTGGCCCGCTTGACCTACATCCATGATGGCTCGCTCACCTACCGGTTACGTTAACTACATATTAGTAGTAAATTGTTGAGGCCGTTCTTTAATTGGTTGCGACAGTCCACTCCCGCCTGCGGCATTCGTCCACTTCCTAACTTTAAATTCCCGGTGAAGCTATCAATCTAGCAATCCATGATACTCTTGAGCTCCATGAACCTACACATTCGCTTCTAGAGATTCTCTTGAATCGAGGCCAAATTCTTCAGCCATTGCACTTCTAGGGTGGTAAATCGGCTCATATGTGAGCCCTTCCACTAAACATGGACGCGGCGGATAAGAATGATTCTACTGAGTACTTACCACAATTGCTTCAACAAAAGCGGAGCATCAGCGTGTATGAAGTCCCAAGGAATTTGACCCCGTCATCTGAAGATCTTAAAAATTACGACTGGGGGCATCTCCAAGAACATTACGCCAACGCGATGGAGAAACACGGAAGAGCTGAAGAAGACTTGCGAGCTCAGATCTCGAAGCTGCTAGAGGTTCCTCTATCGTACTCCGTCCGGGAAGTCATCCTCTAATAATTATGTTATCGTTATAGGTTTTCATGGCGTGGTCTCAAACTACAGTTATTCGTGATGAAGCTAGAGCGCTAAAGAGGTTCGATTAAAGTACGAGATTGTAGTACGATGTGAGGCTTATTAATCTTGATAGGTTCAAAACGCAAATGCAGCACGTACAGAATTCGGAGGAGGATTTAGAGAAGAAACGGAAGCACTGTACGTCATTAATACTTTCCTACGAAGCGATAATCCGATTTCTAACTCTTCAGGTAGATGTCGATGTTGTAAAGGCGTTCGAAAGCGCTCTTGCGCTTCTGAATGACCGCGTAAGACCCTGAAGGCAGTGGTTCTCTATAATAACTTCATCTCCAGTCTTATTTTTTTCTGTCTTGTAGGATTTTCAACAGGTGTTACCGAACTCAATTACCTAGCAGGGTGTGATCCCCCCTATTGTTACCTGAAATTATACAAATATGCCCACAATCAGCTGGCAGCCCACCCTCCTTCTGCTGCCACTGAGTGGAAAAACAAAGAAATAAGAAAGGGGGAGGAAGGATGCGAGGAAGTAAAGTATCCCTACAGTAACCCTAAGCTCCGGCTCGGCCAACGTCATTCTGCCTTAGCCTAGTAGTGATGTCCTGCCAGACAGTGTCAATCTGCCCTCCAGTGCTTGCTAATAAGCTTTCCTCTTCGGCCTCTTCAGCATCCTCATCGAGCTGCCGCTCGTCCAATTTCGGAGAGCACAAGAGAGCGGTGACCATCACAAATAGATAGATACCTTGATCGCATAACTCGTTAGAGCCTTTAGTTAAAATGATGCAAGAGAGGTAAAGAATCCTACCTAAGAAAGCGAATTGGGCCCAGAAGAACATGGCACCGAAAAAGGGAAAATTTATCGTCACACGGTTAAGAAATGTGCTGGCAACGCTTGGAGTGCAGACTTGCTTGGCGGCCAAACTATCTGCCACCTCAGAGCATGGCCTAATAAGGTGTTTAGCACCTGAACAATCTGGCTGTTTTTCAGGAAAGCCGAGTTCTCGATCACAGAAGGTTTGAGGCCCATAAGTTGCGTATTGAGGAGCAAGTATTATCGATGTTGAATAGTTCAAAGCTAGTATGATCAACATCAACATAGCCGTTGCTAACAAAAGAGCCTGGGGTGACGTGTGGCCTTTTCGGATTTGGAAGATTTTGATCCAAAGAAATCGGATGCCAATTACAGAAATGCCGACGATGGAGCTGCTGAATAGAAATAAGACAAGCATCGTGAAAATGACGTAGTCTACTGGAAATGCTTTGGCGGATTGAACAAGAACCCAGTTAATGGGGTTGAAAACATTGATATGCCCAAGAATGTATCCACATCGTTGTTTGCAGAACGAGTTCTTGGCCTTATCGATCGCCGTCAAAAGCATAGATATCCATATGATAAGCGCAACAAGTGACAGAATGACGCCGGATAAAAGTCGGAATGGACGGAATATAGCTTCAATTTTTAGCCACAATCGCATTAATCGGGTTTGGTCTTTGCCCTCGGCTTCATCCGCCAAGCGTTGTCGACGGACGAGCGTTCGTTCTTCCCTCACAAGAGTATCCAGCTCTCTACGGTCTTTTGAAGACAAAAGTCCCGGATTACCTCTGCAGCGACCTTCTAACTGGCGCTGTCGTTCCCGATTAGACCCAAGCTGAACGGCTGTAGTCGCTTGTAATGTCGGGCTTGAAACTGACGGGCCTTCTTTGATTAAGGTAATTGGGAATAGAGCTAGACCCGTGGAAGTATATAAAACATAAAAGCAGAGACCTATGGTTATCAGCAACCCAAGAGCAAATGTAAGGGCACGCTCGCCACCTGCGGTAGGAACTTATTAGCGACAGCACCCCATGGTACATGATATACCGGCTGAAGGCACAATAACTAGGAGGAGTTCCAAGCTTACGGCTTTGGGTCAGTAGGTTCTTGAAATAATCCAGACCACCACCATTCCCATCTTTCGCAGTAGGCGCGAAGAACCCAACGAGAAACAGCACAACCACTATCGCAAGGAAAGAGACTGTGTATCTAAAAGCAGCCCAAAACCGCTGCCCAAGTGACTGTTCTCCTGCTTCGGATGCCACTTCGTCGTACTCTTCGTACCAAAAATAAATGAAAGGAATCACAATGAGGCAGAGGAGGGCGTCCAAAGAGTATAGGAAGTAATACCCAACTTTCAAGTACAATATTATCCTATCTACTTCTTTTTGAGTAGCCCAGTCCTGTCGCCGACCCAGAGCCGGAGAATTCGTAGATGAGACCAGAGCAACGTCGACTGGTACCAAGAGAACAGTCGCAAGAAGCGTGGTGACAGCAAAGATACAAGTCAGTATTACCGATGGACAGCGATCCCGAGGGGTTTGGTAAGCATAAATAAATATAGAGGCCACTGCAACCAATACAGCTACCATAATTGCATATACAACCCAAATAAGGGACGTTTGCAGGAGCGCCATGTTGTTGGATCTTGGATCTCACATGGGAGAGAACTCCGTTCGAGGGTTCAAGTTAAGATGTGATTACAAGGACCTGTTGAGAATACATGAGTACCTAACAATAAATATATGCAACAATCACAAGGAATACTCAACACTTGCCATAACATACCTAAAATTGAGATGATTATATTAAGAGAATATCATTGACGGCAATCGCGAAGAAGTTCTAAACGCGTCTTACGTCATCGCACCGTGGAGCTTGGATCGATCACGTGTTACTCCCGTAGCTCCCAGGTTTTGGCGATGTCCCTGATGTACATAGCACCAAGCAGCTTCGCATGTTGTTCAAGAATCTTGGAATAAAATCATCTACAGTGGATAAATTAGTTACTCCCAGCTCTGTTGATCTGCTTTTACATTATTTAAGAAATGGTTCTTGCATAAAGTCAGTTGAAGAGAAAGAAACATAAGCAGGGAGGAACAAGAGGGAGGTTCGAACATCTCTCATTTGATTTTGATTACCAAATGCAGTGCTATACTGAGCTCTTGCCTCCCACTGGGGTCACTCATTCGTTGGCACTTCCTTTTACCTCTGAATCAGCGAACAACTTGGTGGTTGCTAGAACTTCTCGTCTCCAGATATTTTCTTTGCTTAATGTTGACCCTCAACCTGGAGGCGCCGAAGAACAGGGTGTCTCAAAGCTGATCTTAGAGAGGGAATATGCTCTTCCAGGAACAGTAGCAGATCTATGCCGGGTTAAACTCTTGAATACCAAGAGTGGCGGCGAAGCTATTTTGCTTGCCTTCCGAAGCGCCAAACTTGCTTTGATCGAATGGGACCCGGGACGGTATGGCATCTGCACAATCTCTATCCATTACTATGAGCGGGATGATTCGACTAGTAGTCCATGGGTACCTGATTTGAGCAGTTGCGGCAGCATCCTTAGTGTGGACCCAAGCAGTAGATGTGCGGTTTTCAACTTCGGGATCCGGAATCTCGCTATCCTTCCTTTCCACCAGCCTGGGGATGACCTGGTGATGGATGATTATGGCGAACTTGACGAGCAGAGACTTGGCAGCCATGGGCCAGGAAGTGGCACTGATTGTGATTTGACCAAAGAAAGCACCATGCATGGGACGCCGTACACGTCTTCTTTTGTGCTCCCTTTGGCGACGTTGGATCCATCAATACTACACCCCATAAGTCTCGCATTCCTATATGAATATAGGGAGCC